TAAATAAGATTTGAGGAGGTCTTCTTTCATTCTTTGAAAGCAGTGCTATGTTATACTGTGAACGACATCATGCAGCAGAGAATTAAACATCAATGGATTACAGTACTTTAATAAAATAATCCACACTACTAAATTACGCAGCTGAAAAAAGTGAGTTAAAATCATGAACTTTTCCTTTCACACCTGGGAATGAGTTTCTTATCCCAAACTGAGATCTATTTCTAGGAACGTGCCAAATTCATCCACCACAAGCCTCACATTCAACAATTCCCTTTTGACATCTTTACAGTAAAACAGTGTTTGAGCATTAATAATCAGCTTCTCTTTTCCAAATTCATTTTATTATGTTCAGAATCATTAAAGCTTATGTGTGTTAGTTATCTAAGGCCTCTTATTACAGTTCTACTTTTGTCTAATTCAAGATATTGGTCAATAATACATTTGCATATTTGTAATCAAAGGTTATGCAGAACCACGTAAAAAGACACCAAAACATGTTTTTAAAAGGTTTCGCTTAATTTAATATGAACTCATTTGAATAGCTTTCAGATGTAGTAATGATCTTAGTTAAATGCTAAATACTGTATAAGCAGTTTATAGAGAGAACAATTGCCCAACAGAATTCATAAAATAGTAGTGTAGTATGCTTGTGAGACTGTATAACACAAAGCATTTTTCTGCCTTCACTAAAAAACAGAACTTGCTGGAATGTGAACCATTGCTTCCTTTGCTTGTGGTTACATTTCTCTCCTTTTTTGAAAAAGATCTAATATTTGATGACACAGACAAGAGCAAAATAGCTGTAACTGGTCAGCTAATTATAACCTGATAATGTTCCCATAAAGAAAAAAATTGACAGTATTTTTCAAGTGTACTCTTAGAAGAACCCGGTACAAACTTTATATTTAAAGTATTAAATTCTAACCATAGATTGATACTGTTCGAACATGTTCCATTCTGGTTTTAATATTTTAACTGAACTTAAGATCTTAAACTTTACTCTAGAGTTCTGTGCAGGAGAAGCTCTGCTAACAATTCTGACAGAGTTATCAAGACACTCTTGCATAGATTCCTAACTTGTATACTACTTTCCCCCCCCCCCTTTTATCCCCGACCTTAAAAGTAAATAAGGGCTCAATTTAGGTCCAATGTAGTGAAATGTGGCAGCCTTTTTACACAAGAAGCGCTACTCGGCAGCTGTATGCAGGAGAGTAGCTTCTCCCACTGAGATTGGACAAACTGAAGTTCAGCCAGGAAGGACACTAAGGGCACGTCTACACAGCAAGGCTAAAGCCAAAATAAGCTACACAACTTTATCTACGTCCATTGTGTAACTGAAGTCGAAATAGCTTATTTTGGCTTTTGGCGCGGTCTGCACAGCAGGAAGTCCTAGGTAGAGCACTCTTCCTCCAACTTCCCTTACTCCTTGTCAAATTAGGGTTAAGAAGTCCTCCAGCTCACCATTATTTTGACATTATGTTGAAATAACTGCTTGTAGTGGTGACGCAGACTATGTTATTTTGGAATAACATCATTTATTCCAAAGTAATACTGCTGTGTAGATGTACCCTAACAGGGTAATGCGCCATGCTCTTATAAAAAGTGCAATGGGATCCTGGTGGATAAATTGTCAGGCTCTTAATTCTAAACTAGACTTTCTTAACTGATAATTAGCAAATAAACAAAAATATTTAAAGACAAGACAAGCGCATCTGATGTTTTAATGAAGCTCTCTCGTTCTATTAGCTATCTCAAGTTAAAATGTTAATATGCCGGTTCTGTCTTCTGAGAGCATAGAAGTTCCCCTTTCAAAGTACTGGAGATAATTATAAGCAAATGTGAACTGGCCTGCTATTTGGGAATTGCTTGTATTTGGGTTGAATAGTCTCCATTTTTAAGAGGATTTGCTTGTTTATGCATAGTTGCTTCAATTTTTCAGTAAACTCTTCCAGGGGGTTACTCAGAATTTCTGAAACAATCAAGTTGAGCAAGCAAGCAAGACAGCTGGTCTCAGAACTTGATAAAACCACATTTTAAATAATCTGTAAGAGAGGAGGTGGCTATTTGTACATTAAGAGACATGTCAAAAATTCAAAACACTGAAAAGGTCAATTTGTTTGAAAATGGTTTACTTAAAATAAGCAAAAAGAGGAACAAATTAAAAGCTCTCTCTGCTCAAACTATAAGGAACTACAAAGGATTCTCATTCCACTTTTTTCCTGATTGGAAAGGGAAAGTAACATAGTGTTTTAATACCAGAAAAAATGGCAATAGCTGATATTTTGGGGCTTATGGGTGGAATGTTATAATATTACAAGGTTTAGAAAATACTTAGTATTTTACCCTATATGGGAAATTGAAAAAATAACCTTTGCATTTTTTGGCAAACCTACTTACTTTTACAAAAGCTAAATGTCTTCTTGAATTTAATGTATGCTATATTATTTACACTGTCTAATTGGCAGTAGTAAGGCATCCTACTGTCTACAGTTATTTCTTTGTATACATGATTCTCAAGGCCTCAACTGGAGTATCGTGTCCAGTTCTGGGCGCCACATTTCAAGAGCGATGTGGACAAACTGGAGAAAGTCCAGAAAGAAAAGTGATTAAAGATCTACAAAACATGACTTACAAGGAAAGACTGAAGGAATTGGGTTTGTTTAGTCTGGAGAAGAGAAGACGGAGCAGGGGACAGAACAGTTTTCAAGTACATAAAAAGTTGTTACAAGGAGGAGGGAAAAAAAGTCTTCTCCTTAACCTCCAAGAATAAGATAGGAAGCAATGGGCTTAAACTGCAACAAGGGCAATTTAGGATAGACATGCATAAAAACGTTCTAACCATCAAGTTAGTTAATCACTGGAATAAATTGGCTAGAGAGGCTGAGGAAAGGCCATCACTGGACATTTTTAAGATCAGGTTAGACCAGCAGATCCCAACCTTTTCCAGATGGGGACCCATTTTGACAATTCAGGAAGATTTGGTGACCCAAGGCAATTAAAAAACGTGGGGAGGAGGTAGGGCGAAGCCACCTGGGGAGAAACTTGGCGACCCTTTTGAAATGTAATGGCGACCCATATTTGGGTCCCGACTCATAGGTTGGGAAACTCTGGGTTAGACAAACACCTGTCAGGGATGGTGTAGATCAGGGTGGACAATCCGCGGCTCTTCTCCCCTGAAAGTGTGGCTCACGAAGCCTCCCCTGCGGCTCACAAAGCCGCCCCATGGGCCCCTACAAACGGCCCCTGGCTCCAGGGGAGCCATCTGGTGCAGCAAAATGGCATCAGCAAGATGGCATCAACCAGCGAGAGCCTGATGTGGTGAAAAAGCCTAACCCACAGTTTTTAAAGGGGCAGCGTCTTTTTTCCCCTCCCCCTCAACAATTCTGGTGCGGCTCTCGCATATTTTCTGCCGCTATTTCGGCTCTCTTTGTTTAATAGGTTGGCCACTTCTGGTGTGGATAGTATTTACTTCTGCCATGAGTGTAGGAGCTGAACCAAGTGACTTCTCAAGGATCCTGGCAGTCCTCCGATTCTATAAATCTACGATTCTAAGTGTATTAAGTCTAAAGTTGTTCAGGTGATATAAGATGGGCTTTAAAAACAAACTAGCTCTTGAATCTGCATCTGACGAAGTGGGTCTTTGCCCACGAAAGCTTATGCTCCTACACTTCAGTTAGTCTATAAGGTGCCACAGGACTCCTTGTCGCTTTAGCTCTTGAATAACTCCCAGAACAGTATTTCAGTTTCTTATTAGTGATTTCAAAATAAAAGTCTCTGGAATGCTCTATGAAATTTAAAACATACAACAGCTCTCCAACTTACAGAGAAAGCAGCACCCAGGGTAAAAAGAGGAGTTGAAAATTAAATTACTTCAGCATCCGGGAAATCAAGAGCGTTTAGAGAAAAAGACACATTTTTGAGACAGACCAAAATCTAGTGGGGAAAAAAAGTCCACAGAAGACGCCCTCCTGTGCAGCTCTAGAACTCACAGTTAGTTCTTAACTTGAACAAGTTATGCTCAAGTATTTAAAAAAAAAACAAGCAGTTATCTTGGTAAACTTATATCACTCTCAGATAACACGAAGTAACAAAAAAAATGTCCGGGAAACAGACTCCAAGTCAAGACTGGAGCATGGAACAAATGGATGTGAAAAATCAAAGAACAGTGATATTAGTTTATTTAAAAAAAAAAAAAAGAAAAAAAAGAAAAAAGAAACCCTTGCTGTGAAACTTTAACTTATTTTAAACGAAATTAAAATAAGTGTCTGCAGCTGTCAGAACTCCTTATAAACAGTAAGAATTAGGGCCACCAAATGTGGCATGCACCTTCCTGTTCTCCTAACTTCAAGCATGGTCAAGCCCCAGGAAAAGGATTGTTTTCCGTAAAATGCAAAGGGAGGGGCTACTGTTCAGAGGGATGCAATGGTCACTGGGGGCAGTGAGCCTGAGGGGGAGAGTTATCCTGCAATGTTCACTGGGACAGCCTTACCACCAAACAAGTGGCGAGTAGGGCTGGGGCTCTACCATCTTGCCTGCCAGCACATCGGTAAAGTATCCACCCTTCCCCAAACTCTTTGCCTACTCCAGGGGTTGGAAGGACTGAGGGGAAAGGGGAAAAAAAGGTCCCTAGTGGTTGGGGGGGTGGGGAGGGGAGAGAATCCCTGTGCAGGATGGGATCCTTTGCCCTGAGCCCCTCCTCACCCCCCAACCTCACTCTCGCGCTTCCCCATCCCCAGTCTCCTGCACTGTCCCTCTCCCCACATCACCAAGGCCCTGCCCTGACTCCTGTACACACACACACCCCACCACCAGCCCTCTGCCCTGAAGAACCCAGGCAATGCTGGGTAAATCTGCTAGTTTCTCAAATAGAAAACTGACACAGCAGTGTATAACAAATATTCAAATAAAGCATTCAAAGAAAAAAATATTGACTCATTTAGTAAGTACAGTAGAAGAAAACATACATTTAGCTGTGAACTATGTCACAACAGCATACTTACTGATTTGTGGAGCAGGCAAGATTCGTGCAGCTCGAACTGGGCCGTGTCGAACGGAAAAAAGTTCCTGTGCTTCACCACTGATCTGCATAATTATAAACAATGTAAAGAACGTTACTTTGTTTCATAAACCAGAAAAACTTCCTTCCTCCCATATCAAATTCACTAAAGTATAATTTCCTAAACTTTACCATTCCTTCCGCTAGGGATGTGAATGGGTAACTGTTTAACTAGGTAATGCTTACCGGTGACCGGTTAACCGACAGCCCCGCAGGGCTGGTGGCTGGGAGCCTGCGGGATCCTGCTAAATCGGTTGAACGTAAGGTTTGACGGGTTAACTAATTAAATTGCATTATACATCCCTACCAGCCACAAAGTACACTTTCACACATTTTGCAGAGTTTTGAGGTGTTCTTGTGTTTGGTGCTGTAGCAGAGTTACAGGATGTCTGACTAATAGTCGTTGAAGCCACAAGGGATATTCAGGTTAATTGTCTCACAGTTACTTAGGCTGTAAACATATTTGCAACAATACAACTGCATCTACACTAGGCAACTGACCAATTTATTTGTTTTTAAAAACCCATCTTCATTAAATCAGTGCAAAAACTATATCTCAAGCTCCTAAATGAGCTGTAGCTTTTCTTTGGAGCTATGTTGGGACTCCAACAAATCAGAGGCAAAAAGGAAAAATCACTAAAAATAAATCTATGGGGAAGTGTTTTTCTTCACTTGCTTGGTAATTTCCATATGTGCTCAGTAAACTTATGTATTTCACATACTAAGTTAAGTTCTGGTTTATCCAAGACCTGTTCCAGCTTGCTGTCCCAAAAGTGATATTTCCTTTCTACCCAAGAATCCTCAAACCCACCTTAGCTCAAAAAAAATATAAAAATCTATTTTATAAACTCTTCCCTTACAGAAGACACTTTAGAAGTCTTTAAAAATAAATTGACCAATTATAGCAATAGAGGACATGCACATGAAGAAATGTAGGTCTTCCATTAGGCTATGTGAAATTCCACAGCGCCATGCAACTTTCATAAGCATACTGTAGACATTTCAGAAGATACAAGTCCTCAGTTTAGCCACTGATTAACAGTTTGTTCTACTCAGTTTATGTTTTATTAGAAGAAGCAAACTAATCACTGATTAAGAAAAATCAAATATTGGGTTTAAAGGGTCAGAGAACTTGAAATATTAGCATTAAAATTGTTTCAAAAGTAGGAAGTCAAACTAATTGTCGGTCACTAATAGAAATCTTGAAGAGATTAAAATCAGAAGTAGTTAAGAAGAATTTCCAGACTTCCTGTAAATGGTTGGTCACAATGTATTTTCATAACTGCTCGGTAATGGATCCGATATGGAATGTCAAACTTCAGGAAAATGGCAAACATTATGAAACTCATTTCCAAATAACCAAGAACTTAAAACAGATGTAATGAAGCTAAAAATTTAACCAACATGTTGGCGTACTATATTTGGAAGAGAGTTTGCCAAACAAGCATTTTACAATATCAGAAATGCATAGAATTTGAAATACCTCATAACTTGATAAATATTAAACCATAAATCTAACGCAACGCTCTTTGAATGTCTTTTTATATTTCTTCAATTACTTCCTCCAGTTTAGATGACAAGTTGGAAAAATAAAAATCCGCTATTTGAGCAACAGACCAAGTCACATTTTGTTGCAACTACAGTTTATCATCATTGTTATAGATTATATATGTTATTCTCCGCCTGTTTATCCCCTTGAAGCATCTATTTCTTATAAATACTCTATGCAAGTGCTATGCTTACTATAATAAACACTCCACCCTTTTATCATTAAACTATGGATACCAACATCCTTACTTCAATTTTCCACTTACTGTCCTCCTTCAGTTTAAAATAGCATTCAGGACAGGTGAAAAATTTGGGGAAATATTTGTCTTTGCATTTCTTCCCAGGAATATGGAGCCTATTCTGATCTCACAGTGAATGAGTCAGGAATTATACCAATTAAGTAACCAGAAATATTCCTGATACAGATGGCTATAAAACCCATCTAAGAAATATGAGATTCAGATCTTTAATCTAGCCTGCTCTTATTGTATTAGCTAGATTATCAACACCACAGATTCTGCTTTGCCATTTAGTGGAAGTACCTGTATAGTACATACATTTTTAATTATTCTACTTTATTCAGAATAATTTCAGATTGAACCAATTAGTAACTTGAGGACAGTGTGCTGCCTCTCCTGGAGCAGGTAGAATGATCTCTGCTCCAAAACCCTTGGGAATCAAGTTATTTATAAGCCAAATGATTGGATGAAAGTCAAACTGGTGAAGCTAGTTCTCCCCCTTACTCCCTCCAGAGACTTAATCGGTTTTCTTGTTTTCCAGGAGGTGGGAGGGAAAGGAAAAGAGGGAGAGAAAACAAGAGTGCCTGTCCCAAGCATAATGGGCAACATGGAAAAAGGCACCAATAGGGAGTGGTTAGAAAGGAAGCAACCAGTCCCAGTATTCTATGATAATGTGGAGGGTAAGAATGGGGAGGGAAGAAGGGGCATTCCAGTCCTGCTAGGCCTGCCGTGCCTCAGGCAGAGAGGGGCAGGGGCCGCTCCAGCCTGGCCAGGAATTCTGTGCCTGAGGCAGGAGAAGCTTGGGGAGTCAGGGGGCCACTCTAGCCCAGCCCGACCTGCAGCGGCCTCCCCACCCATGGGTTCCCCGTTTTACTTAACCTTTAACCAGTTAACTTATTAAACAGGATTTTACATCCTTAGAGGAAAAGGAAGCAGACACGTAGGCAGGAGTAGGTTTTGTGTCTGTGGGAACACACCAGTTCTATAAAAAGAAAAAAGTGGGAAAGTGTAAGACTGAAACTATTATTATTGGCAGTTACGGGTATTTTTCCCCAAACCATGAAAGAGTGGTTCACATATGTGCATGCACACAAATGAAACAAAAAAGAAAGGACTAACATAAGTACGGAAGAAGTGATTCACATACAATAATAACCCAATTCAGTCACCTCGTGCTACTTTTCGAGCATGCCAGAACATCAGCTCTAGCGCCAAAGAGGCCCAACAGTCAGAAACAGTTAAGGAAGCCAAACCCACTTCACTGAGTTTCGGCTCTCAGAGCAAATATACTAAATTTATATACATCTTTGGCCTAGGATGCTGATGAGCTGATCACGTTTAAGGCTGGGATTTTCAAAGAAGCTTAAGGGAATTAGGTGCTCAAATCCCACTGAAACTCATTTGTAACAGGGCATACAGCTCCGTTAGGCTTACTTGAAAATCCCAGCCCAAGTTCTTTCTAGATATGCTGCTTTATCTCTTCAAAGTATTGTATGAGCATGTACTTATTAGTCCTCCACCCCTATGGAAGGAAGGCAGGTATTCTTCCCATTTACTCTTAGGGAAATCTAAATCAAAAGGAAGGTTGTGAATTGCTCAAGTCAGCGGCAAAGGCAACATTAGAAATCAGACGTTACCAATTCTTACACAACTACAGCATACCCTTCTCTCCTTTAAGCAGGATACAATTTCAGCACCACAGTGCTTAGCTAAATATGTGTCACTGTGTAGTTCACATAACTGGCAGGTCACATGTTGCTCAACTAATCAGGTAGGAGGTAAAAACAAATTAGCGGTAGACTATAAAATGTTCTCCTATCTTCCCGTAGATTTTGTCATGCAATTACAAATGACAATTTACTTATCTTATTTAGTCAAATCCTGGTCTTACTTTATTGGAAATGCAGTTTAGAAAAACCAGGGGGAAAAACAAACTTATTGCAGCACCAGTATCAGCTACAGTGCCCACATTTCTGAAGTATCACACCTCTATAAAATAAAATAATCTTCAATTCTCTTGAGCAGTTTTTATCCTTCGAATTTCAAGGTGCTTTACAAAAAGGAGGGAGCATTCTGTTATGTACTACAGAACAGTAAAATCCTGGGTACTCCTTGGCTTTGTTTGGAGGGGGAACCTCTATGGTCTCTTTTGCAGTTTATAATTATCTATTAAAACAGTGGTTCTCAAATTTTTGGCCCACCGCCCACCCCACTCTACACAGACCTTTTTGTGGACTACCAGCCAACCATCCATGATGACAAAATGGATGCAGGAGGAAGTGGGAGTGTGGGGTCTGGTCTGGATGTAAGGTGCAGGAGCGGATTGAGGGTGGGGGAGGATCTGTATGGGAGAGAGGGTGTGGAGGGGTGGGGTGCAGAAGTCTGGGAGGAAGGGAGAGGGCAGGAGTGGGGTGGAGATGTGGGATCTGGGCATGAGGGGCATAGAGGGCACTTACCTGGCTCCATGTCCCCCACTGCTCCCATTGGCCATGAGTCTGGCCAATGGGAGCAGCAGGGAAAGCCAGCCAGAGGCAGGGGAAGCAGCAGCACACAGAGATGCTTACTTCCCCTGCAAGCCGGATCCAACCCACAAGGCCCCTACCACCACAATGGAAAGCCGGTGCTGGTGCTCCAACATCACAGGGGAGAGCCATGGAGTGCTAGTGCAGGCTCCCCGTAGCAGCTGGAGCAAGCCCAGAGCCTGCAGCCCACTGCAAGATGGTCACAGACAATGAAACAACCTTTGGGTGTGTCTAGACTACATGCCTCCTTCGACGGAGGCATGTAGATTAGCCAGATCGGAAGTGGGAAATGAAGGCGCGATTAAAATAATCGCGGCTTT